TAGTCTCAGGCATTCAGCATTAGCTAATTATCCTACTTCTTGTTAGGATAGTTATATAATCAGCACTTGGAAGGTTCATTGACAGTCTTAGTAAAAGAACTGACCTCTCCCTGCCATCTAGAATTATTGCTTTCCCTATCTGCCCCATCCCACAACTGTGTACACTATGCTTGGAATCCTGTCACTGTTTGCATATTGGTTGTATAGGTTGCTGCAACTAATTGCAGTTAATTGACAAGATGTTGGGATGCATTCAGGCATAGACTCGTAGACTAATGGGTTTGGAAGGGGCCTATAAGACCATCGGGTCCAACCCTCTGCTCATTACAGGAATCCAAATCAAAGCAGATCTGATAGATGGTTGTCCAGTTTTCTCTTGAATGTTTCAACGCATCCCGAGGTAATTGGCTCCATTATTGTACTGCTCTGTTAAGACATTTTTCTTGATATTCAGCCGAAATCTGGATTCCTATGACTAAGTGTGCAATGGAGACATAACCCAGAACCTTATCATACAGCTGCAGTTTCATGCAGCAAGTTAATACAAACCTTACAAAAACACCAGTAGGTTTCTGTCCTATGTATATAAATCTTTGGCTCAAATACTGTACTCCACATGTGTGAAGAATTGCAGCCTACAAAAGGCCTGGCTCAAATAAATATTTTCCTGAGAAAGTGTATTGTAATTAGACATGGGCTACAAATATGAATTGTGGCACCACAGATGCCATGGAGGCCTATTCCCTGCCCCCAGAACCAGCTAGTCTACTTATCAGTCTCTGCACAGTGCTTGAGTCCTTCATTGTTGTTGTTGTCACACCAATCCAGGAGGAGCTCAGTGAGTGCTTCCCTGCCTCCCCACGCAGCTGACCACTCCAGTGAGGAGGCAGGATGGGAGAGTCTACCTGCTCACCTGGTGAGTGGTTGCCTGCGCAGGGATGTGGGGAAGCGCTGGCCAGGCTCCTTTTCAGATTGGTGTGACAATGATGATAAAGGACCTGAGTGCCATGCAGCGACTGGTAAGTGGACCGTTTGGTTCTGATGGGAGGGAAGAGGCTTGCCATGATTCATATTTGTATTCCCAGGGATACAAATACAAACAGCCCAATTTTACCGTATTTGCCGGTGTATAAGGCAACTGGGCGTAGAAGACGACCCCCGAACATTCACTCTCAGAATGTAGAGTTTGTTATATACTTGCTGTATAAGACTGCCCCCTCTTCCGCATGCGTGATTCTGTTTTGGCTGCATCATGGGGAGAGTTCCTTTTGCCCCTTTTGGTTCCTTTTCGGAGAGAGACAGGGTTTGCTGGAAGAAGGAACAGCAGAGAGGCGGCAGCCATTTTGGAGAGGGGGCAGCCATTTTGAGAGGCAGCAGCCATGTGGTTGCATCTCAGAATGGCTGCCTCCTCTCTGCTGTTCCCGACAGTCAGCTGTTTGGTGCTAGAGTCAGGCTGTTCCCAGGCTAGGAGTGGGGCTCTACTCGGTCTTATTACCAGGTAAGTGACTTCACTGAGAGAGAGGGAGGGTTTGCTGGACATGCACCCAGTGTACAAGATGACTCCCCACTTGGAGACATGTTTTTCAGGGCCAAAAAGTCATCTTGTACGCTGGCAAATACGGTAATTGTAATCCATGACGGCTGACACAGGCTGAAACCCAGTAGAATGTCACAGCTAGAGTAGGCCCATTGAATGAATTGGACTTAGAGAGTGATTGACTCACCAGTGATTCAGTTAGCCTACTATAGAATTTACTGCAATCAAACCTCAACCTACGAACTTAATCCGTTCTGGAAGGGTGTTCATAGGTCGAAATGTTCGTAGGTCGAAGCATCATTTCCCATAGGAATGCAATGAAAACCAATTAATCCGTTCCAGCCAAAGAAACGGAAGGGACTGAGGCTTTAAGAAGAGGGGAAAACCTCCACAACAAACAGTAAAACAACCTCCCTTATTGAGGCTTTAAGAAGGGTAAAAACGTCCAACAACAAACAGTAAACTCAGCTCCCTTGCTGAGGCATTAAGGGGAAAAAAGCCACCAACAAAACAGCATGGACACATATCCGCCCCAGCCAAAACCCACCCAGAAGTTTTTTAAAAGGAGTAAACAGCAGCTTACCTCCCTGCAGACACACACACAGGCTCACTCAGAAAGCAGGAGCTCTCTCAACTGGGACACACCCTATAATGCCTGGCAGAGCTGCAGCACAAAGAAGCAGCCTCGGCGCCACCTATAGTTAGAAAGTTGAATTGCCCGCCTTTTTTCCCTGCCTGTTTCTGTTCTTACGTCGAAGCTCTGTGCGCAAGTCGAAGCAATATTTTTCTATTGGAGTGGTTTGTAAGTCGAAACGTTTGCAAGCAGGGACGTTCGTAAGTTGAGGTTTGACTGTACTGTATTTCAGCCATAGAAGTAAATCTGTTAATCTTTTAAGATATCACAAATCCCTTGTTTTTATTTTTCTCATATATGGCAAGTTAGTTTGTTAGTTAATTTTTGATGGAAAATGACTCCAAAGAGTAGAGCAAGTGAAACAAGATACCCATAGTTCATACATGTGTTTGCTTTACTACATTGCCTTGAAAAGTTATGTGTGCCTGGATCCAGATTTAGTCATTTTAATATTACTAAAAATCCATAAGCATCAATGGGACACTTCAAACTGGGCAGAATCCTGTTGCATAAAGTTATGCCATGTAAACTGGGTTTGGCCCAGTAATATTTAGTTTAAATTACTGTAATTGAAAGCTTCCCATCTTCTCCTTCAAGTTTTGTGGTTCCCTATGACTTTTTTTTTGTCCTGGGGAGCCTTAGGACACAAGAAGGAAGTTTTTAGTAATCAAAAATCGCCATCAAATTCCTCTCCTGGGACTCAGAATTTCAGTGGTGATCCAGTGATGATTTTTGACTATTAAAGGCTTCTTCAGGGCAAAGAAAGGCCTAAGGAAGCTTGGTTACCTGAAGAAGGGGGATAGGAAGCTTTCAGTTAATTTATATTAAATATTATTGATGCCAGATCCAGATTACATTACATTATTTTACAGTAGCAGGATTATTCATGTTAAATTTGACATGGCCAACTTATTCCAGTTTAGTTCCATATGTTTGATGTTTGATCCTTCAATCCAGCCCATAATTTTCATACACTATAATGAAACAATTTGTGCAGTCATATTTGAGCAGTTATATTTGTGCAGTTATATTTAACAGTCTGTTAAATATAACTGAGCAGTGGTGATCACATTTGCCTGGAAGGAAGGTTGTTATTTGGAATAAAATGTACTTCCTAGTAAGTAGCTTTAGAAGAATCACAACCTAAGTTTGAATTGTAGTGAACTTAAATTGTACACTAGAGGAGTTTCTGTGTAGAAATCAGCTATCATAATACCATAAATAATTAATAAGACCCATTCTCTGGAGCCACATCAGATAATCAGACGTCATTGAATGGTTATTCAGCAGCATTCCTGTTTGTCCGTTCCTTCAGCACCAGAAATTCCTTCCTACTTCTGATTTATACATTTAGTACTTTGCATATGTTCATTAAAATAGACACAATGATTGAGGTGCAGCCTATAACTGAATCAAAGAATTTATTCATACTCGTTCTATGCTTGGACTGCCTACTAGTTCTGAAGTGAAAGTTAGTTTAAAGGACGTAATCAGAAGGAGATTGGGTTTCCCTTTCAAAAGCAGCACTGTCTTTTATTCATTCTTTCCTCTACGTTTTTCCTTATTTTTTCCCATCGAAAGAAATAAACCCTAAATTTTAAATATAAGATCGTGACAGAAAATGTTTCATTTTAAGCATTGTGTAAACTAGCAATTTTCAAATGCTAGTTTCTTGCAGTTGAGTTGTTCGGTGCAGAGCTCTGTGGTGTTTTATTCACCTCCTCTGTTCCATTTCAAAGGAATGAACAAGCTTTCGTTGCACACACGCACACTGGCGCCTCTTGATCACAGTAGCTGTGTGTTAAGAGATATGGTCACCTTCCTTTAAACTGTCTGGTTCTGATTATTCTGGCATTTCTTATGCTGGAAGTTCACTAAACTGGGAATTACGATGGGTGAGCGGAGGAATAAACTTTTGTAATAAAATATGTTGGTGAAACAACAGATGTGTTGTCGACATATTGGGATTTCATTACTTAATAATTTTTATAAATCCACATTAATTTAGTAGATTTATAAACTATATCAGTGATTATTTTGATCTGTGTTTGGTTGTTGTTGGCTATTTTACTGTTTCCACCAAAAAACCATGATACGAATTTTAAAAATGAAATTAAATGAAGTAATGAAGCTAAATTAGTGTGATACTTCGTGCATAATAGTGACATTTACATAAAAAAACACAGTATAGTTTGCTATGAAAATGAACTACTATACCCTTCAGTTTACATGCTTTGTTTCTTTTCCCCATGTGTAGTTTATAGCTGTAGTTTCTAGTTTTGTTTATACATTTATACAGGACAGCGAACTAGTGTATAAATGGCTGTTCATAAAATGGCATATCACACTCATAAGGAGCAAAATAGTTGAAAATTGGGTAGAGGCAGTCAGTAGCTGCAGCTTCTGAGTATGATTTAGTGAAGGTTTTCCTCATTTTTAATGATTTGACATGCCTTGTTTTTTTAGTAAATTATCAAAAATAAGTGTACTATGGAATTTTGGAAAAAGTGGTAGCTTTGAAGAGAGAATAGCCATGTCCCTTCTAACAGCTTGTGCAGTGCTTTGGTATTATGCTTGACACAACGTGGAAACTGTTGCTCTTTAGAGCTTCATTTGTGCACAGTTTTTCTATTCTGTCTCTTGATATGGATGAACTATCACAGGTGGTGGTGTTCCATGTTGTGGTACTGATATTCAATTTGTATTTGAGCCACTTTAGTTCATCCTGATCATTTGCTGATGAGTCATCCATAAGATACAGTACTAGAATTTCAAGAACTCTTTGACCTCTCTTTGTATCTCTAATATGTTTGGGGCTTTTTCTTTCAGGTTTTCCACTTAATTCCGCCACTGGATACTGACACCATTTAGCTACAATCTTTGGTGTCTTCATGACTGGCTTTCAGATAGTGAGAAAGAAACGTTTTAAAGAATGGAGTTGGCTCACAGCTTGTTACTTAATGAAGAGGCCTATAACCAGCGGGGTGAATCTCAGAAAGCAGAGTTCGCTTTTGAATGGCTAAGGTTTTTGGAAAAACTTCTACCAACTACTAATAGAGTAAGTATTCCACAACTGGTATGGAGTAAAACATTTTAAGTCAACTCATTTTTTAAGTGTTTTTCCTTCTTAAATGGGTAGCAGTTCCAAGAGCTAGTGTGGATTGGGGAGACGTTTTTCTTTCACCAGAGATAGATGTTTGGCTAATACTGTTAAAAATGTTTTTCATCCACACGCCAAGTTGATGGTATCTGAGCCCAGCTCAAAATAAGTCAGTGTGCTTTATTCAGACAGAATATATTGTCCAAACTCTATCATGATTTGAAATTTGTCCCATTATTAAGTTTTAACTGCTTCCTCTTTCATCTTTCCAGGCTGATATAAAGGAAAAGCAGAGCAAGCTTGTTCAACAACTTGTATTTTTGTTAACCAGCTCACCAGGGCCTCCTGCCAGGCAGCTCATTGCCAAAAACCTTGCTGTACTGTATAGCTCTGGAGACATCTTTTCTGTTCATCAAACAATTGACAAATGCAATGAACTTATTCGTAGTAAAGATGATTCACCAAGCTATCTTCCTACAAAGCTGTAAGTCTATGAGCCTCTTCATCAATGAGATAATGTCAGTGTTATGTTTCTTCATTATAAACAGCAGCGAAGTCTGCAGGAAACAAATTGAATACCAACTAATTAATTAATTATAGCATGAATTTTGTAAGTGAGACCAGGACTGACTCCAGATTTCTTTTTTAGCGTAGGCAAGAGGGACAGTGTTCCTCCTCCCACTTCTGCGTTTTCCCATGTACTTTCCACTTGCTGTACACTGCACTACATAAAGGCTGTTTCTTTCCTCTTATCCTTTCCTTTGCTTGCATCCTTGAATGGGGCTGAGTGTAGAATCAGGTGATGAACCAGGGTGGTCCACTACCTTAATCCAGAGATTAGAAGGTTCATGATTGAGCACACACAGACACAATATTTTTTGAGGGAGTTAATGCTCACACCATGTCTTAGTCCAAAATCATACCCACAAGGCAATGATTAGATGTACAGCTGGAGATACTGGATGGACACAATAGCTACAACAGGATCCTGTTACCTTGGTGGAAAATGTCGTGGTAAGTAATCCAATCTTATACTTAAATACCAGCTGAGATCTTACCATAGGTGACAGGGAATTTCACAAGGTAAAATATGCCGTTTGATGGAGAAATTGAGTACTGTACTTCTGAATTCTTCTGTGCCTAGCACAGAAACTAGGCAGAATAATAAGTGAGATAAATCTTCCCTTCTGATCCCTGCATAGAAATGAAGCTCTCCACTCCATGTCTATATCTCCAGTAAGCGAGTAAAAAATAAATGTCAGGCTAATAAATTTTAGGACTTCTTTTCAAGACTGGAGCAGCTGCAGTCACTATTGCTGGGTGTATAGGAATATAGTCACACAGGGCATGAACGTTCCATGAGATTTGGGAGATGAGAATGAGGCATGCATTGCCGTGGAATTTTTTAAATAGCAGGAGGAAGAACAGCAGAGAAGGATTCCTTTAGAACTTAGCTGAGTACCACAAAACTAAAGCTCAGCATGTTAGGGAACATATGCTGTAATTCATACATACACTTCTGCCACTCAGCTTACAGTCATTAGTGGGCTCACAGTTTATTTACACTCCTTTCTTGGTACAATTCAGGCACTCAAGGGGAAGGCAAGAAAACATGTAAGTACTTGAGTAGCAGCAATTTCAGATGATACCCCCCCCCCATTACAACTGGGCTCCATTTGCTGTTGAGTCCCTATAAGTTATGGACCTTGACCGATGCTTAATTATAAGATTGATATCATGTTTGAGGTATACTTTTTAGCCAGCCCATTACTGCCATTTATGAGATGTTTTAGGAGTCTGAAGAGGACTGTCTTCTGCTTGTGTGGAAACTTTCCAGAAGATTAAGAATCCAGATTTTCCAAGATTTCTTACTCACATGAAGTGTATCTACCTATGCAGGAGCCTCCATGTCAGGCAAAAGGAGGACATGTCCTCCTTTTTAACCTAATGTCCTCCGTCCGCCAGGCAAAGATAAAAACCTTTAAAATGTCAGGCTTTTGTATATTTTATGTCATAATTTTGGATGGGAGGGGGAAAGGTGGAAGGACCCCCTCCCTCTGTCTTTTCCCGCCCCCCACCCGCCTGCCTGCCATTACCTGCCACCGGCACTGTAGCACAGTCCTCGCCTCCTCTCACGGAGGCTGCTGCTACTCAGCGATCCGCCGTGCCCGCCCAGCCCACGTGAGGACTACAAAGGCAGTGCGAGCGGAGTGCTGGCCGCCGAGCCAGACAGGAGCAAGCAGAGCCTGAGCTCATCGATGGGAAAGTGAGCGCCTGGACTATGTGTGTTCAAAGTCACTTTCAGGGACTCCAGCTCCCACACTCCCCAGCCTTGAACTTATGACCCTCAGGGGAGGAGAGTCTGCCTCGTTCGGTTTTGCCCGGTGCTGCTTTCCCTCTGCCTGCGCCAGAGCCCTGTTTGGGCATCCAGATTAGCAAGGTTGTCTCTAAGCCTGTGCAGAGTGCGAGCAGCCAGGGGATCCCGCAGCTGGGCCGGGGTGGGTTCGGGTACAATTGGCTGTTCAAGTAATGTTTTTTGGTATTTTGAAAAATACCCTCCATTGAATTTATGCTTATTTTTTAACATGACTTTTTCTTGATTGGTTCACTAAGAAACATTTATTGGCAGCTATTGTAATAAAATTGTATTGATTGCAGGTTTAATCTGGAACAAATCAGATGAAACATTCAAGACATCCTCCTCTGTCCTCTTTTTTTTGTCTTTCTATGTCCTCCTTTTGGTACCCATGTATCTGGCAACCCTATGTAAAGAAAGCAGTGATGAAGATACTCCCTTCTCAGTGTGTTGAGGAAATAGGTGCCTGAATAGGTCTTGTGTTTACCACGAATGTCAAATTAGGGGAAGAGCCTATTTATCAAACATACTTCGCTTAAAAAGCCCATGCCAGTCCATTTGTTACCTTTTTATTTACGAGGGTATTTATTCATTGGCCCATGTAACATCCCAGAAAGCATGATTATGGATTTAATGTCCCTCTGACATGTTCCCCCCCTTCTAATTTAGCAAACGTCACATCAGATAGGAAGCTTTTTTAAGTGTTAACTCTTTATATCATATAATAATGACTAGTTCGTATTTGTAATTAAAATCTTCAGTTATCTATAGTAAAATTCGTACATTAGAAGCTTACTAAGCATATTTTATTATACATGAATTAAGCACCATTTTTAAAATTTCTTTTCTTTTTATAAGTGCTGCAGTGGTTTGTTTGGGCTATTTATACAAAAAGCTGGGAAGAATTTTGGGCAACAGCTTTATAGATACTGTGGGAAATATCCTTAAAGCAATGAAGAATGCAGAGGTAAGGACTTAGGCATTCAAAACAAAAGTTTGAACAAAATGTATTGATGAATGGTTTATGATTTTTAAAAACTAAGCCCAGAAAACTGATTGGCAAAATATTATATTTAGTAGGGTAGAGCAGAGGAATTTTTCACAATTCTGTGAGACTACGAGGCTTGAGAGTTAACATCTCTTGGTGCATAATATACTTCTTGTGCTATTATCCCATTAATTAATTAAAATTTCTTTTTATCAGGAATGCTGAGGGTGGGGTTCAGATAAGAAATGGAGATATTTATCAACTAATGTTAAGGTCTGGTTTTTCCTCCCCTACCCCTGATTAATTCTGTCTGATTGTTATAAGAACCACCTTTTTCTTATTTTCTCCTCACGTTCATTTTTTAAGCTGCATCTTTCAGGCTGTATGTCACAGGTATCTGATCTGAAACCTCACATTTTTTAAAAAGCTCATATTTTTTAAAAAACTGAAAATCCTTATTCTGGAAGGCTTTGCGTATAAAATATTTTGAATGATTTTTTAAAAAAATGATATTTTTAGTAGTCAAAGCTTTAACTGTGTGAGTGCCATTTTAAGATTAGAAATCTCTCTTCATAGTCTTCTGATTTTGGAATCTTGAATGTTGCAGGGTCCAAAATGCTAAGACTTGATTGCAGAATCGGCTTCCAATCCCAACTGTGCCATGAAGTTAGCTGGGGGACCCTGGGCAATATCTCTTAGCCTTACTTAATGTACATGATTGTAATGATGTATGTTGGTCTGAGTGCACTATAGGAAGAATGAGCTAAAAATGTGACAAATGAATAAATAAAATAATACTTGAGTTGCAAAATGAGATGACCTTTTCTCTTGTCAGTCTCAAGGGCGGTATGAGATCATGCTAAGTTTGCAAAATATTTTGAAAGGGCTGGGAGCTGCTGCTATTCCATGTCACAGAGATATTTACAAAGCTGCCCGTTCCTGCTTAATGGATAGATCAATGGCAGTTCGATGTGCTGCTGCAAAGGTAAAATGTCATATTAATTGTTTTGAATAGTTAATCTTCCTGAATATAGTTGAAATATGCTGAATACAAGAAGTATTTTCTCTTCCTTGTGACAAAGATAAAGCCAGTGTATCATTCTATATGTCCTTGCTAGGAAGTTTTTTCATCATAGGCAGAAATGCCTTTTTAAAAGATTAGTCATCTGTACATTCAGTATTGTTGCACTTCTGTCCATCATCAAAATATATGGTTTTATCTATAAAGGACCCCTGACTACAGTAGGTTGCATATATAAGAATAAACAGGTCACATTCTCTCTTTGTGGTCGATCTCTTAATGTTTTGCAAGTAAACATCTATAGTACAGTACTTACAAGCACAGATTTTTTTCTTAAATTATTGTATTTGTACCATTTGAGATCACTAGCCTTTTCTATATACTGGAAACTAGTTTGGGCATTCTGTCCAGACTATAAAATAGCATCCATAAATTGGAATAACAAACTTCCTGAAATGTCCTTTCTTTCCCTGCCAAATAAGATATTTCTTAACCTAAAGTTTGATTGTTCTGAGTGTATTTGCTAGACCATAGTAATACTGTCCTCTGGAGCCCACCAGAGGACTGGTGACTCTGGATTTAATATTATGTGGTACTCAGGACCTGGTTAGGGACGTGAATGTCAGGGAATAATGACCATGCTGCAATCTCTTTTGTCATGCATGTTGGGGGGAGAGTGTCAAGCAAATCTGACACAAAAACCCCTTGATTTCGAAAGGGCAGACTTCCTCAGATGAGGAAACTACAGTGGACCCTCTACTTATGGAATTAATCCATACTGGAACGGTGGCTGTAGGTCGAGTCTCCATTGACCTACAATGCATTGAAAACCAATTAATCCCGTAACCTGCTGTTTTTGTTCCATTTTGGTTTTTTTCTGGTCTCCGGCTGCAAGTTGAACCTAAATTTTGCGGCCAGAGAAGTCTGTAACTCGAAAAGTCTGTAAGTCGAGCCGTCTGTAAGTCAAGGGTCCGCTGTAGTTAGAAAGAAGTTGAAAGGGAAAGTAAAAAGAATCCAGTCTCTCCAGAGTGCATGGAGTCTGTTTAAAACAATGGTAATAGAGGCCCAGCGGAAGTGTATACCGCAAAGAAAGAAAGGCTCAACTAAGTCCAAGAGGGTGCCGGCATGGTTAACGAGCGGAGTTGGGGAGTCTTTAAAGGGCAAGGAGGGGTCCTTCCATAAATGGAAATCCTTCCCAAATAAGGAAAATAAAAAGTAACACAAAGTCTGGCAAAAGAAATGTAAGAAGATGATGCGGAAGGCAAAGAAGGACTTTGAGGAACGTATGGCCAGCAATATAAAGGGGAATAATAAAACCTGCTGTAAATATTTTAGAAGCAGGAAACCTGCCAGAGAAATGGTTGGCCCTGTGGATGGTGAGGGAGGTAAAGGGGAAATTAGTTCTTTGCATGTATGTTCACAACAGAAGACTTTGGGCAGATTCTGGTGCCCAAATGGCCCCTCGTGACTAATTAATTAGATACAGGTTAAAAGAGAGGATGTTTTAGACCTAACTGATAAATTGAAGATCAAAAGTCATTGAGCCCAGATGGCATCCACCCAAGAGTTATTAAGGAACTGAGGAATGAAGTTGCTGATCTCTTTACTAAATTATACAACTTGTCCCTTAAAATGGTCACAGTGACAGAGGACATGTCACGCCAATCTTTAAAAAGTGAAGGAGGGGGGGCCTGGGAAACTACAGGCTGGTTAGCCTAATGTCTGTTCCAGGGAAGATGGTGAAAAGCCTCATCCAAGATAAAATATTTAAAACACATAGAAGAACAAGCCTTGCTGAGGAAATATCAGCATGGCTTCTGTAAGGGTAAGTCTTGCCTCACAAACCTTTTAGAATTCTTTGAAAAGGTCAACAGGCAGGTGGATGCGGTTGAACCAGTGGATATTGTCTATCTGAATTTTCAGAAGGCGTTGGACACGGTCCCTCACCAAAGGCTGCTGAGAAAACCACAGTTAGGGGATATGAGAGCAGGTCCTCTTATGGATTGAGTACTGGTTGAGAACCAGGAAACAGAGAGTAGGTGTCAATGGGCAGTTTTCACAATGGAGAAAGATGAAGAGCGGTGTACCCCAAGGATCTGTCCTGGGACCGGTGCTTTTCAACCTGTTCATAAATGACTTGGAGACAGGGATAAGCAATGAGGTGGCCAAGTTTGCAGATGACACAAAACTTTTCTGGGTAGTGAAGACCAGAAGGGATTGTGAAGAGCTCCAGAAGGATCTCTCCAAACTGGGAGAATGGGCGGCAAAATGGCAAATACGTTTCAATATAAGAAATTGTAAAGTAATGCACATTGGGGCAAAAACTTTAGTTAATGGGTTCTGAGCTGTCTGTGATAGATCAGGAAAGAGATCTTGGTGTGCTGGTCGACAGGTCAATGTAGTTGTCAACCCAGTGTACAGCGGCAGTGAAGAAGGCCAATTCCATGCTAGGTATCATTAAAAGGGGGATGGAAATAAAACAGCAAACATTATAATGCCATTGTACAAAATGCTGGTAAAGCCATACCTGGAGTATTGCGTACAGTTCTGGTTGCCACATCTCAAAAAAGACATAGTGGAACTGGAAAAGGTACAGAAGAGAGTGACTAAAATGATGACTGGGCTGGGATACCTTCCTTAAGAGGAAAAGCTACAGCGTTTGGGGCTCTTTAGGCTAGAGAAAAGGCGCCTGAGGAGGGACATGCTTGAGATTTATAAAATTATGCAGAGAATGGATCAAGTGGATGGAGAGAAGCTCTTTTCCATCTCACACAATACTAGAACCAGGGCACATCTACTCTAAGTGTTGGGAGAGAGAGAACAGACAAAAGAAAATATTTCTTTACCTAGCGTGTTGTTAGTCTGTGGAACTCCTTGCTACCGGATATGGTGATGGCATCGGGCCTAGATGCCTTTAAAAGGGGATTGGACAGATTTCTGGAGGAAAAGTCCATCATAAGCCATGATGGGGATGTACAATTGCCAGGCTTAAAAGGAAGGTACCTCAGAATGCCAGATGCAGGGGAGGGGTATCAAGAGGCAGGTATCTAGTTGACTCATGTTCTCCCAGAGGCATCTGGTGGAACCACCATGAGACACATCTGAGGACCCAAGGTTAGGAACCACTGGTTTAAGAAGCGTCCATCTGTGTTAGACTGAGATCTATTTCTATGTGTTTGATTTCCACAATAGCCAATCAATGCCTGCCCCAGTTCCTCAACTGAGGTTTAAAACTCTTTAACCTACTCACTGTTGTTTCTTGGGAACTGATGCTCGGTGGAAGATGGCACAGCTTAGTAATGAGCACCTAGCTACTTGTATTCCATTCTCTCTTTTTTCCTTCAGTCATAAAGGTACAACTTGCGTAATGAGTAAAGCTAGGGCTATGTACTAAATCCAGACAATTCACTCATCACTAAACAATCCAACCTGATTCAGACTGATTTCTCTGAGGTCCAATCAAAGCAGAATACCCAGGTTCAGTCCCAGAATTAAACAACTTTCCATGTGTTTTGGCTGTCAGTTCCCAGAATTTCTGGCACTGGCCATCTAATTGGGACTTCTGGGAGTTGGAGTCCAAAAAGGCAGAGATTGAGAAACACTGATTTAGAGCACTCAGGCTAGTGCGGCGTTTCCCAAGCTATGGCCAGTACTGCTGGTGGTATCATTAAAAGGGGGATGGAAATAAAACAGCAAACATTATAATGCCATTGTACAAAATGCTGGTAAAGCCATACCTGGAGTATTGCGTACAGTTCTGGTTGCCACATCTCAAAAAAGACATAGTGGAACTGGAAAAGGTACAGAAGAGAGTGACTAAAATGATGACTGGGCTGGGATACCTTCCTTAAGAGGAAAAGCTACAGCGTTTGGGGCTCTTTAGGCTAGAGAAAAGGCGCCTGAGGAGGGACATGCTTGAGATTTATAAAATTATGCAGAGAATGGATCAAGTGGATGGAGAGAAGCTCTTTTCCATCTCACACAATACTAGAACCAGGGCACATCTACTCTAAGTGTTGGGAGAGAGAGAACAGACAAAAGAAAATATTTCTTTACCTAGCGTGTTGTTAGTCTGTGGAACTCCTTGCTACCGGATATGGTGATGGCATCGGGCCTAGATGCCTTTAAAAGGGGATTGGACAGATTTCTGGAGGAAAAGTCCATCATAAGCCATGATGGGGATGTACAATTGCCAGGCTTAAAAGGAAGGTACCTCAGAATGCCAGATGCAGGGGAGGGGTATCAAGAGGCAGGTATCTAGTTGACTCATGTTCTCCCAGAGGCATCTGGTGGAACCACCATGAGACCCAAGAAGCTGGACTAGATGGGTCCTTGGCCTGAACCAGCAGGGCTCTTCTTATGTTCTTACTTACAAGTCTTATGTTAATGTGTTGGACCTACTTTCAGACTTATAGTGCAATCCTGTGCAGTGCAGTCTTGTTCAGATATATTCTGTTCAGCATAATGGAACTTAATGCCAACTAAATGAGTATAGAATTGGAACCCTGATGACATTAGGCTATATCCAGTGTTACGTAAATAACCTTCTGCTTGTGCCTCACAAGTGTTCCACAATTGTACTTTAACTTGTATTTCCCTATGCCTTTCTGCAACAACCTACATGTCTCCCAGATTTATTCCACTTGTTCAGAATAGATCGGGAAGGGGGGGGGGACACAAAACAGTGAAGGAGACTGTTCCACCAGCTTTGTTTCTTCTGTTCGTAGTCAGACAACACTGGATATAGTTAGAGCATTAGTTTTTAGGTACTGTATTTCGCTTTACATGGTGTTTACAGACACAAGAATGTTTCATTTGCCCGTTCTTCCTGCTCTCTTCTCCTCTTCTGTTTAGTGTCTTCTTGAACTTCAGAGTGAAGCAACCTTTATATGGAGTACAGACTTGGACAGCATTGTGACTCTGTGCTTCAAGTCTTTTGAAGGATCCAATTATGATGTGCGAATGGCTGTTTCTAAGCTGTTAGGCTGTGTGTTAGTCAGTGCTGTAACATCTAAACAAGGCACAGGTTGGTTTTATTAATGATTTTTGTCTGTATTGATGCAGTGGGAAAAATAAGGAACATCACTATTTCCAAACCTTAATAGTGTGATTTAAACATATTAGAATATACTGTACAATGGTGTTTATATTTTTTTTGTCCTACATCACTTCAAAGCTATGCCATATATGAGAAAACATAGCACTAAACCCAGTTCTCACTTCCAGATAGATTAGACCCATTGGATCAATAGGGTTTATGTAAGTGCTGAGACTAACAACTGAATATAGTCCATAATATGTGAACTAGGCCTTCATGCTTACTGTACATTTCTCATAGGAGAAAATAGTTTTCTAATTCTTTCTTTAATGGAAAGAATTCAGCAGTGGCGAAAGGGCAAAGAGAGAGCAATCAGAAGTATTAGAAATCAGCTGAAGAAAGCAAGCAAGGAGCAACGTGAGGCAGGAAGCAGAAATGCTAGTTGCTACTTGAGGAGAATTTTATTGGGAGCATGTCTCTCTCCCCAGTCTCTCTCCCCATTCAGAGCACTCTTCAGCTTCTTCTTGTGCCAACTACAAGGCCTACGGTTGTTTGGTGTGATTAGCTCTCATGTTGCTGACAACTGGAAGATTTCATGATATTAATGCCCTATGTAAAGGTTGGCCAGTGAGTAAGCTTCCAAGGGCTGGGTGGCAACTTCACCAAACACTACCAGCTAGTAGTGAGGGATGATCAGAGTGGCAGTCTGACATCTGGAGGGCCACATGTCGCCCACTCCTGCTCTATATCTAAACCGTTCCTAAATACAATTGGTATTAATAGTATTTGCTAGGTTGGGAGTACTTATAAAATTTGCTTGCTTAATGCACTATGGTAAAAAAAAAAGTTATTTGCCTGTATCAGGAATCATGCTATTTATAGATTGTGCTATGTAATGCAGATGGAAAGTGCTAACACAACTTCCTTTTTCAGGAAACCAAACCTAAACATTTCTTTGAGTGCTTGTGCTAGCAGTGCTATTACAGTGTTGTTCTAAGTCTGGCATAGTGATATCTCTAATGTTAGCAGAAGCTACGTAGCATAAACACCACCTCTTGCCGAATACCTTATTTGGTGATATATAAGTGGCTGGACCCATAAGTACCTTCATCTAATGATTCCAATAAGGATCTTATTACTTTTATCTTCACTGCATAAATAAAATGAGGATTAAAAATGAACACTCTCCACTGGTTCTGATTCTCAGGAATAAATCCAGTTGTTCACCCCAACTAGAATATGCAAGCTGAATCAATGGGAGCTACATATGAGTAACTTTACAAGGTCCTGTTGATTCGATTTGTCTACTCTGGTTAGGAATATTAATTGGATTTAAGCAGAGGATTTTTATAATGTTATGTATACTTACCTGGAGAATAGCCAGTGTGGTGTAGTGCAGGGGTTCCCCACCCACCCACCCACCCACAGGTTCGGCCTGCCTGCATGGGTGCCCTGACCTCTGCATATGCGCGCATGGGTGCCCTGCTTATCCCTGCATGCGACCCACCCATCTGCGCATGTGTGATGGCGCCCTGCCTATTGACATGTGCACACACACCCATCTGCACGTGCACACATGTGTGCGCCCCACCCACCAACAAGCACCCACCCACGCATGCATGTGCGCACACCCTGCCCACCCAAGAACACGGGGGTGGCCCCACGCACAGAATCCCCGCAAACAGTCCGTGGTTTGGAAAAGGTTGGAAACCACTGGTGTAGTGAATACAGTAGTGACAGACTAGTACTCAGGACTAGGCTCAGTCATGGAAGCTGCTTGTAGTGTGAAACTTGTAAAAAAAAACTCACTGCATAAATATCTCACAGTGAAAGCCCTATTAGGGTCTCTATATGATGGTTCCGACTTGGCAGCATGTAATAACAATACTTACATAGCATTATGTCCAGCAAATTTAAATTTACTCTTAGGCAATATACAAAGCATTAGGCTGAATTGACTTCAGGTTAATATTTGGTTTCAGACATGCTACCAAAAAGATCTTATTGAGGCATAACAGGAAATGAAATGCTACTGGTGTGTGCCTGTATGTGTGTGTTTTATTAAAAATACCATATGTGTTTTTTTTTCCAACGAGAAAGCATCTGCAAGACAAAATGTTCGTAAAATTTCATTTGAAGAAGCTTTGGAACTCCTGGCAACAGGTTTCCTTCGCGGCAGCTCTGGATTTCTCCGAGCCAGTGGTGATATCCTGAAGGGGACCAGTTCAGTCAGCAGGGATGTTAGAGTTGGAGTCACACAGGTTGGGTATATATTACAGAATTAAAAACCAAAATAAAAGTAGGATTTAATGTTTTGTGGTTTTCTTTTCCATAATTTTATGAATGGTTATTGCACAATAATGTATAATAGCTTAGAACTTGAATTTACTAGGAGCTTTTATAGTATTTTATAGTAAAAACTCATGACTTGCTTCTAATATTTCCTAATATTCTGTTTCAAAAACTACAGTACTGATAAGAATATGGTGTTCATATAAGGTTTACGAAACTTTCCATAGTTAATTTAAGCTAATTGAAAGATGCTGGGCAATTTGCACTTCTGCAGTTGAGCTCATAATGAGACCTTATGAGCTCAACTGCACCTTACCTGATAACTGTGGTAAATTACTCAGATGTTATGTGGACATGAGTGTTCCGGCCTGTGTCTTTGATGTTTATTTATCACTGTCCATCATGATATTATAAGACATATGAATTTCCTTTTACAAGTAGATTTTAAAATTTGAAGTTTTTAAAAAATCCATCGGCCAAAATCTTGTTGCAGAATACCATACATGTAAAAGGAATCATGCAAGGAGTTTATGCAATTTTCTGGCCATCTGTCATGGACTTGGTTGCACTACTGAGTATCCAACTGAGTGCATGATCCAGATATGACTGAGAATATGACAGATAGCTAGAATGATCACAGGTACCAGTTCCATAATTTCAGTTTGCATTCTGAATTCTGGCTATTCAGTAACCAAACCTCAGCTGCTGTGATGTTCATTGTCTTGCACTATTATGCCTTTTTCAGGATCACAAAAGTAGCCGAAAGGGCTCTTCTCTTTCAGAACATTTACTTTTTCTCAGCTGATGTCTGAAAGAACTTGCTCCTTGATTAAGCACAAATGTAAGCACTTGTTAGGCCTATGGCAAAACATTTTCCCCCCATTCAGTGACTGGCAGGGACAATTGCATAACTGTTCAGGAGGTTATCACTGGAAAAAAGAAGAAATAACTGTTCCCATAGAGATGTTCATGTTTTGCAAGAAAACATTTGAATCTGTTGTGTTATATGTCAGTTGTGAGTGTATGGCATTACTTTTGAGGCAAAGAGAAAATCTTGCATTTCAGGGCAGAATAAGTCACATGCTAATATCTTTCAGACAGTGCCACTACTTTGCTGCCTAAAGCAGAGTTAAAATGGTGTCATCCTCCTACTAGTGTCAAGACTTGTCTCAAAAGTCTTGCTTGCTCCATTGTGACACCAGTTTCTGCCTTCTTAAAGTGCTGCCTGAAATAGGTTACCTTGGTGTACAACATCCCATTTCTTCAGCAGCATCACAAATACAAAAAAATTAATATACTATATTTTCTTTTGTGTCAAAGAGATTTGTGTAAACAAGATCCTAGGACCTGGTTACTGAGAAAAAAAATCATTAGAGCTGCTTGTTTTGTTAATATCGGGGAGAGAGAGTATAGTAAATAATATGCTTTCTGGTTCATGTATGTAAGGACAAAATATTGTCTAATTAGGATCATTTCACCCCCTATTTTAATATAACATTATTTAGAAACTAATTTTAGATTTTCAAAAATAGATACTCGGCCACAACATGTTTCGTTCTCTTCATAACTAGGGCACAACTTGGTGTGTACATTCCCCATTGTGACTGTTCATCTATCATGTAGTATTTATGAAGAAAACGTATTCATTACTTCATGGTGGTGGTGGTTTTAATTTGCTGAAAGAGGAATGACTTGCTGAATATACTTGTTAAATAGTTCTGTGTTCTGTTTCCGGGAATGATTCCTGTACCTATAAAACAATTAAAATTAATTTGCAGTTAGAACCGTTTTAATCATTGCAAATGTTTTCTGATTGAAACCTGGACAGCGGGAGTGAAAATGCCCAGTTGCTCACAAGGCTGTCTGTGTGGTAATTTAATAATTTTTAAGATGAATTCTAAATGTGAGTTTTACATAAAGAATCTTAAGTAGCTGAAGCTCTTTTTCAGTGAGGACAGATTCAGTCTTTTACATAACAAGTATTAGCCCCTTTCTCTTGCTCTGGAATTAGACAGAGAGGAAATTAATCCACTCTCAGTATTGCTACTGTGTTAATTGAAATTAAGGTTTCCCCCAGTGTGATATGTAAATTTAACTAATGAGGTGTATTGTACAAATGTAAGCCTGGCTGTTTTATCTCTCTGTTCATGCTGGGAAACAGTAAATATATTGCTTTTTAAATATCTCAAAGAAATAGATTTGTTGTTTCTGCGCTATCTTAAGTAATTACTGCCAGCATGATGCGACTGAAGTTGTTATAAGAATGTGTGCTGTTTTTTAAAAAGGATTTAATACAATAAATAAATAAATATTTAATCAAATGTTTTTCAGGCGTATGTGGTATTTATCTCCACTCTAGGAGGGCAGTGGCTTGAAAAGAATTTCTCTGCCTTGCTTTCCCATGTTCTGGACCTTGTCTCTCAGTCTCACCCTAAAGCTATTCAGACTCAGATGGACGCTATCTGCTGCCGCCGTTGTATTTCATTTATCCTCCAAGCTACAGTAGGAGGCCTTCTTGGGGAAAAAGCTCAAATTGCAACTGCTAAGGAGATTTGTCAAGCCATCTGGAAGCTGAAGAAAGTTATGGGTATGGGACTAACAAGATTATTTGCTATCTCTCCCTCCCCACTCCTTTTCACTAGGACTTTATATCATTTCTTAATCTGCTTGTGAAGTCTGTGTATTCGTGTTTCTGACACTGTTGTACTGTCATTCTAGAACACTTCTCATTTCTCCTTTGGATTTTTTAAAAATAGAATAATAATTAAAGCACCCAATTATTATCTTAATATAAAATATTCCTAAATATTCACCCAGTCATATGTGTTTTGTTTAGATAACTGCAGAGCTTAGGGTCTAAATCCATTTTTTAGTCCAAATATAGTAGACCCATTGAATGAATGGGAATTTGGCAACTTAGCACGTACGTATACAGTACTCCGTTGAATGAATGCATCTATTCTAGCTGGGAATTTAGAATTAGGTCTAATAATTGACTCTTAAAGATGTGCATTGGCTACAAGGTCATTTTAGACCCCAGTTAAGTGATTCAGAATCTTGGGTGATGTTTATGCAGGAATGTATAGAAAACAGTATACAATCTATAAGTATGCCTTGAAAGCTATTCATTTTCTACTGCAATTGTTGAAAACACAAAGAATATGTCCACATATATTTCATTATTTTATCCTTAACTACTTCAGTGTTAGCTTTTGAACTCTTAGCGTTTTCATCTTCCCTCATTAAACCTTACTTTCAGTGCAGAATTGTACTGGATACAGTACGTGTCAATCTGTTCCCTTTCAACCCTATTTCACCCCTTTGTTTTACTTAGCATAGTATCTTCTGTTGTATCACTAGATGCTGCAACAAGTGATTCTAATATGGAAACCCATGTTGGTACAACAGCTGTAGTAGGAAGCCAACATATGCTTATATGTGCCCTGGAAGAGCTTGGAAACCTCATATATAGCTTAGGTACTACTGCTGCACCAGTAATGCAGGATGCAAGTACAGGTAAGCATTCTTCACGGTTATATGAATGGTGGGTGGTGGAAGTATCTTTCAGCCTTTGGGATGATAGTGTACATTGGACCGATCCATGCGCTACAGAATTAATGCTGGAGGTGTGTTTATCAACAGCAAAAGATTCAAGTTGCCCTATTGGAGGTTTCTTATGAATGTACCTATTTTAGGAAGGTTTTTTTAACTGAGTCAAAGAATTGTGCAGAATATTTAGTAAATAGCATTTTAGTATAAGTTTTCATAGTGCTGAAGAAAAAATCAGTTTCTAGGATCCATTCAGTCAAAGGACATAGTAGTGATAAGCAGATTAATTTTTACATAGCTTGCACTAGGAGGTATCCAGGATCACCTTAAGCAAGCTAAAATTGATTGTTTGTAATGGGGATCTCCAGCTTCCTAAGACCAAAGCTTGTACAAGTGAGAGAGCCTACATTACTATGCTCTGTATAATTATGTTCCACCAACTAGATTCTATGTTTTTGAGCACAGTGTTTTTGGTTCATCACTCTTTTATGGAACGAAAATGCTTCTAGCTAAAAATGATCTGAGTTTTATCTAGTGCTAAAATTAATCAAAGAAAAGGCATGATTAGGTGGAAAGGAAAAGAGAGTAAATGGAGATGAAGAGGCAGTCCGGAAGGCCAAGGTAAAAACTGTGGTGTTTAAATGTAATAATAAAGAAGAGGAAAGTAGGGCATCAAGTAGATGAGCATAGTCTGATAAGGACACATGATGCAGTCAGCTTGTTGAAACTAAGCAGCTGTACAGATGTTTAATACTACAGAAAGTCCCAATACACTTGAGACCCCCATGCTGTATGGTATTCTATTCCATGATGAAAGAGATTTTGGGTATAAAATAACTGTTGAGTAAATAAACCCGGATTGTATGTATCTGGAGATCAGTACCAATAGACCTGTGGCTCACAGCCATTACGGCTGGGAATCAGGACACATGTATAAAGTTAATCATTGCCAATCTGAATATTTTCAGTAAGCACAGCTTAAATCCATGCTTTCCTACTCAAAAATGAGAACTGCTGCACTAGGCTTCGGAGATAGAAAACAAAACTATTTGCATTTGAAGTTTAAACACTCTGCTCTTCAAATACAGTGGTGCCTTTAATTGCAAACTTAATTTGTTCCAGGATGATGGTTTTAACTCAAGTTAGTCGTAACTCAAAGCACCATTTCCCATAGGAATACATTGAAATGTGATTAATCCGTTCGGGCCGGGAATACATTGAAATGTGATTAATCCGTTTGGGCCGTTTTTTGGTCGTGTCTCAAGGTGCTGGTTGTATCTCAAAGCATTAGTTACCAAAGGAACTAATGCAAAAGCGGTTAATCCATCACTTGGGGGATACTTTTGCAAAAGCGGTTAATCCGTCCACTAGGGGATACTTTTTTTAAAACCTAAGATTACGTCTAAGGTTAAAAAATGGGCAGGAAAGGAGGGAGGGGGAGGGAGGGAACAATGGGGAAAGGAGGCCTTTTTTCTGGTTGTATCTCAAAGCGCTGGTCGCAAGTCAAAGCAAAATTTTGCAACCGGAGCTGGTCTTAACTCAAATTGGTCACAAGTTTGTTTGTCGAGGCACCACTATACTTTTAAAACATACAGATGTTTCAAGAAAAGGAAACCATTTAAATACCTTTGAATCACTTCTATCCCTGCTTTGATTGAAGATAAGCATTCCCTGCCCAAGAGGACCCTTATCTGGGTCATTTCAACAGTGGTCTTCTTTCCTGTAGACCAGCAAATCAGCTGGGCTGCAGATGAAAGTTGGTGAGGGCACACAGCATGCAAACAAAGGCTGAAGGTGGGCTATGTGTTATGCACACCTGCCATGGTATAATGAAAAAAGATAGACTGTGGAGAAATTTAAAGGTACCGTAGACACCTGCCATGGTATAATGAAAAAAGATATAGACTGTGGAGAAATTTAAAGGTAAATAGAAGAAGCTTAGAGGAAAGATGAGAAAGAAGATAACAGTGAAAGAGTGGGACAAGGACGTATACACACACACACAAATTAGATGGGCGGGAGCTTAAAGGAGACTAGTAAAATGTAATATATGCCATTTTTAAAGGTTTGTGGAAAGAAAAGGCTTCTAAATATATTGATGTTGTAAAAATGGGAGAGCCTGGAAAGGCCATGGATATACAGAGAAAAGATTAATGAGAAGCATTTCAAGATTTTGAACAAGAGCAGAAATACTATTTTTACCAAGAGGAAGGGCAGGATAAAATATTAATGTGGCTTACTTCTTAACATTACTTAATGTTCTTGTTTCTTGGTATAGATAGAATACTTCTCTGTAACTGACCTGAAAAAATTGTTTGCCATGATACAACATTTCCATAACTTTCCAGGGCTTTTGGATGTAGTCATCTCCGTCATCCTTCACCCAAGCCTTGCAGTTCAGCTTGCAGCAGCATGGTGCTTACGCTGCATTGCTGTAGCATTACCCTGTTTCCTCTCCCCACTTCTGGATCGCTGTATTGAGCGACTCACCGCGCTGAAATCCTCCCCTGAAGCAGTGACTGGGTATAGCTTTGCTATTGCAGCTTTATTGGGAGCTGTCAGACAATGTCCTCTAGGAATTCCACATTGCAAAGGAAAGGTAGTTATCTTTCATATTCATTGCTGCATCAAAACTATGCTTGTTAACTGTGCTTGATATTGCTTCACAGAACTTGAGTACTTGAATGCAGTGCTGTTGCTAGTGGTTTGGCAAGAAAACTACTTATTCATTGCATATTTATGTGACTCGTTTTTTAATATCCCATCAAGTTCTGCAGGGAGCAGCTGACATTTGTCCACATCTAAGTCAACAAGTTCATGGATCCATTGAAACACAGCCATTAGGTTTTTTTAATTGAACATATCTCTTTTAAATTTATTATTCCTTCTGTATATCATTTGTCTATATTTGTGTATCGCTATTTATATAGCTCAGAGCCTAAGCTGCATATATAATTAGCAGGGCAGCCCAGTCCTGTTTATAGTATGGACTACATTTGGAATTTTGTGCATTAATTTCCAGGCAAATTCTTGTTGCAAGGGTACGTTCATTACTAAACTGAGTTACACATATCCTCAAAGGCATAATGAAGTAAAGAGTATATGGCTCCATAGTTATAGACTTTCATTGTTGTTCATAGAAAATCATAAAAGAAAAGTGAAAAAAAACAGTACCAGTTTTTAAATAATGGAAACATAATTGCGAGTGATGAGAAAATTCTTATCTCCAGGTGTTTCTTTATGCTTTGGAACCGATAAAGTTACTCTGAAATTTTAAGCAACAAATTATTTTTGAAATATGCTTGTTATTAGCTGAAACTGGCCCATTTCCACAGCTCACAACTTTCCCACAAACATCACAACTTTGTCAGTGGCAGAGAAAAATCTGTGTCGATGTTCCTGGACAATGGAAGTGAAATCTATTTAGCTTTGCCAAGGAAAAGATTTTCTTTTTAAATGCCTAATTAGGAGTACATCCACAGATCAACTGCATGTCTGCGATGGAAACAGAGAGCCTTCAGGCCAGAATCTGTTGTGTTTTCAGTACATCCTCCCTAGATCTGGAGTGAATAACTTGCATGCCTGATACTTTCTTTGGATGCCATCTGCTATTTGCAGATGTTTGCAGCTGTGGTCAGAGTGTTCTGCATGTGTTTCTCTTTATAGATAGTCTCACTGCTGTAAAGGGTGTTTTCCACTTGTGTAAGGGATTGGTGGATTCCCTCTTACAGAAGTAGTGGGTAGAGACAAACTGATGCAGGATAGACTATTCCACATGTGTCTGGGACTAACATGATACTGCTCTGCACTAGGTCTAAAATGGGAATATGTGTTCAGTGCCTGCAGTGTAGGGTAAGCTGTAAAACTAAACAAATAAGTAGAGTCAGACATGATTAGGAGTAAAATCAAACATGTTAAGGGAAAAGTGGACAGAGATAAGTTTTTCTCCCTCTCCTGTGTTACTAGAATCCAGAATCAGGCACTGAAGCTAAATGGACAGATAAAAGGAATTATATACAGTATTAAGTGACAAATTCCCTAATATCTATCCAAGCCTGTTCTCCCTGAGGTTACCATTCTGCGCCTGTCAACCAGCAATTTATTTACAGCAAACAATGACAGGGAGAAAACATACATGACTCACTATTTCTTGAGCTACCATATAATGGATATTCTTTATCACTATTTCTTGAGCTACCATATAATGGACATTCTTTAGGTAAAAAGTGTGCTGCTTATACAGTATACCGCTTCAAGCGCTCTCTGGGCAGTTTACAAGTTAATTATGCAGGCTACACATTGCCCCTCCCCCCAGCAAGCTGGGGGAAGGATACCGACCTCGGAAGGATAGAAGGCTGAGTCAACCTTGAGCCGGATACCTGGAATTGAACCCCAGGTTGTGAGCACAGTTTTGGCTGCAGTACAGCGGTTTAACCACTGCGCCACGAGGTTCATAGTGTGCAAAAAAAAGGTACAAACAAGCTAAAATAATAAGTTACAGTAAAAATAAAATGAATACATAAAACAAAATGCTATTGCCTAACAAAGAAATTATCAGCTAGCAGTTGTAAGACAATATTTACCTATGTATCTGTTTATTGGTAAAATTATAGATAGGTGATATAAATATTTATCTTAAATAAATATATATAAATCATTGTGCATTTGTCAACTGCAAATCAGAAGACAGAGACTCAGAAGAGCGTAAATGAAGGGACTGGAAAAGATCATCAGGTGTAAGGATTTGTCATTGGAGACCAAGACCAAGATCATCCACACTCTTGTATTTCTGATCACCATGTATGAGTGTGAAAGCTGGACAGTAAAGAAAGCTGGCAGGAAAAAAAATTGATTTGTTTGAAATGCGGTGCTGGAGGACAGCTTTATGGACACCTTGGAGTGCCAGGAAGACAAACAAGTGGGACCCAGATTAAATCAAGCCAGAACTTACAAACAAGTGGGACCCAGATTAAATCAAGACAGAACTTTCTCTAGAGACAAAAATGTTGGAACTGAAACTGTCCTACTTTGAGTATATCATGGAAGACAAGAGGAAAAGGTTGAAGGCAGCAGGAAAAGAGGAATACCAAATGTACTGATGCCCTAAAAGAACCACAGGCTTCAGTTTGCAAGAGTTGAGCAGAGCAGTTGCGGATATAACATTTAGGGGATCATAGGGTCACCATATGTTGGGGGCAACTTGAGGGCATATAAGAACAACAATGATCAACTGCTGGTGGCCTATCTGTAGTAATTTACAAAGTGGAATTTAGCCTCCATGCTTTAGTGCTGTGATACATTTGATTTTTGTTACATTTCCAAGATTTTGCAAGACTTTCTTGCCAACACACAGTGACAAGACTTAGAATTCTATGTGGTGAAATCAGATACCTCATTCCTTTTTAAAATCATGCAATATGCCTTTTCTACATGAGAATTTTTTTATTTAGGCTTTTAATGTATGCATGTGTGTGTGCACGCACACATGAGTATATATATAATATGTTTCATTTTCAATCCATTGTGTCATATTTTAATTGTTCTTATAGTGATTGTTTATCTTTGCTTAGATCATCATGACAGTCGCTGAGGATTTATTACGTACTGCTTCTCAAAATAGTCGCATTTCAGTACAAAGAATGCAATCTGGATGGCTTTTGATAGCTGCCCTAATGACATTGGGTAAGACTATTTATCATCCTATGTTTATGGTAAGACTATTCATCATTCTATGTTTATTTATACTAAATAAAAAGACATTGACTACACTTCCTTGTGCTTTGGAAATTAAACATTTCTTGCTTCTGTCCTGAGGATTCCAGTTCATATTAATCATATAAGAACATTTCCAATCTTAAAAATAATAGGTCCTGCAGTTGTCCAGCATCATCTTCCAAGAATGCTTCTGCTCTGGAAGTGTGCATTCCCCATATCACCTAAAGATTTAGAAACTGAGAAGAACCGAGGTGATTCATTTACGTGGCAAGTGACGTTGGAAAGCCGAGCAGGTGCTCTCTGTGGTAGGTAGAATTTGTCATTGTTATTTTGTACGTCTTTTTGAACTTTAAAAAACCACATACATAATTCTGAAACCTAAAATGTGAATGTTGTATTGTATTCAGTGCAAAACCAATAGTTTACAAGATTGTGAGTACAGGATATTGTTTCTTGCTACATTATATATGACAGTACATTTGACAAGTAGATGAAGTCCTATAAGACTAAGATTAATTACCTTAAATTATCTATGGTGACATCCAGTTTTTGGCCAGATTTCTCTTTCATTCTCAATATGGAATGTATGTGTTTCAGTCATTTAACTATTATGCATTTATTTATCTACACTGGAGATAATGTGGTGCTCCAAAACCTTGATGGTACTATATAAATACAGAAGAGAGCTCTTTATATAATTCAGTAGCCAGATACTGAAGATTTCTATGTGCTGCACTGTTTCCTTCCTTATATCTAAATGTAATAAATCTACATAGAAAATACATGAAATGTGGTATTAACATACTAGAGTAAAACAATGGGAAGTCTGTCATAAGCATTGGAATGGGGAAAATTTTCTTTGTGACTGGCTGCATTTCCTCAGGGATAATCTTTCAGGGACTTGGGGCAGAATACTTTTTGTCATTCCACTCATGCAACAGCAGTTGCAGAACTGAGTGTGGGTGCATTCTATAATTTCTGCTTGCACAACTGAGGTTAGGTGGAAATTAGGACAAAATATTGTAGTCTGTTGATGGTCAACAGGATTGTGGCCCCTCTGCTATTTGTTCCTTCCTCTATTTTTCACTCAATTTTCTGCTCATAAAGTTGCCAAAGGTCGAAACTGACTACACACTGGCTTTTGAAATTAGTCTGGGTGCCCTTATGAACCTACCGATGCAGGTTGATCACTCTGTTGAGCCTTCTGAGAATTAAATATTACCAGTTAAACACGAAAGAAATAAGTTGCATTCTGCTCTTTATTATTTTTTTTAAAAACTTCTGATCATGTTAAAAATTGTTAATATATGTAAAACAATTCTATTAAGGCTTTTTTGTTGTAAGTCTATAAGTGTAATAAAAAGTAAAGCTGGCAAAATTAAAGGTGAGAAAAGAAAGAAAAAACAAGGGCAAAATACCACTTTAAAGAAACAAACGTTTTGTGGGGTGATCTTCTGTGGATCCAAATCCAGTTGTTCAGACATAAAAAATGAAGAGCTCTATTTATTATAGTCAGCTTACTTTATTATTATTGTTATTGTTGCTGTTGCTGTTGCTGTTGCTGTTGTTGTTGTTGTTGTTGTTGTT